GTGTGTGTGTGTGTGTGTGTGTGTGTGTGTGTGTGTGTGTGTGTGTGGTGGGGAGGAGAGGGAAGCAGTACTTCGTCCATGAGTAGGATGTAGCTTCTCAAAAAGGAAGTAAGTTCTCCTTTTACTTTTCCATTGCCAAGTAACTTTGACTTTTCTATGTTCAACAGTACAGGTATTTAAACGGATTTTTCTTCTCTCCTAGTCTGATTACAAGGACAAGGCATAGCATCCTCCTGTATTCTTATATAAAGCATATCTTAAGACTCGTGTAATGGTGTCTTTTTGTATAAGACATTAAGCATAGAAAATGCCCACCTACCTATTTAGGTCTGCATTGTGTGCATATATGGTTTCCACTGACTTTACTAAGAGCCATGTACATCTGAGAGCAAAATTTAGCCCTTCTAGTACGTTTAAGGAAAGAACAGAAATTAATGCAATGCCCTTTAAACAAAGGGTTATAGTTCTGGCTATAGCTTAGGTTATGTGCCCAGACCCACCCCCCCAAAAAACCCAACTATTAACATGGAGATAAGATAGAGAGTACATTATCCTCATGTATTTAGAGTAAAATACATTAGAGGTGTTGTAATTATCCTCCAACAATCAACGTTATTCAGGAAATTCAAATGTAAGGTTAACGTTAAAGGAATCACAAGGTGTTAAGGCATGGAACTATGCAGTTACTTCACACCAAACAACCTTAACTCTGCCGTGTAGGGATACCATGTAACAACTAGACAATTGTGATTAATGCATAAATGTTTACAGACCCACATTAGATGTAACTGATTTATAAAAACTTACCCTCTAGCCTCCCCTCCCTGGTGGTGGCAGTGAAGGGAGGAGTTAAGGTTGTATGGCTGACAAATGGGGAACCACCATCTTCCCTGAAGGCAGGGAATGGCTTCACTTCCATTTTTCTCGAAGGAATGCTATGACCAGTTTGAAAGTGAGCCATTGTCTTTCCTGAGAGCAACTCATGGCCTCACTTTCATTAAGAACAAAAGGAGATTGCAGCTAATTTGAAAGATGGGCACTTTGTGGAATTCTTTGCTGAAGGAGAAACAGTTATGAAGTGGCAAAAAATGACCACAGTTTCTTCTACTGTAGCCAATGCATGAGATTTCAACTTTTAATTATGAGAAATTTGCATTCTTCCATTAAGATTATGCAGGCTGTGTGTGCACACACTCAGAGAGAGACAGGATGATAAATGTAAAGTTCTCACTTTAAAATTAGTTTTGTCAAACTAATTACCTTTGTGTACGTGTACAGTCTCAGAATATTAATTCTATAGTCAGCCTTAGTGCTGTAGTTTTGGGGAGCATATACTGTGCCTGAATCCTTAGCTGTGGACCTACAGTACCCTACTACCCTAATGTGCCCTGGTTTCCAGCTCTCCCCAGTTCTGACTGTGTGATCTCGGACAGTTATCTTACATTTCTTGGCTCTTTAATTTCCTCACCTGGAAAAGGGATATACTAATTTTCACATCTCCTAGTCTGGATTCCTAGCCCAAAATTTCAACCCCATAAGCCCCTTTGAAGTGGAAAATGCCCCCTCTCCCCCTGCACGCCACCCCTTTAGCCTGGTCCTCTGGTAAACAAATAACACAAAGACAACAGGTGCAGGACTTCGAATGGGTCACACCTACCTCTTCCCCAACCAGCAGGGGCCACTCTCAGAGAGATTCCAACCCAGCCCCAGCTCCTCCACCCCACCCCCCCCAAAATCCCCACCATATAAGACCCCGGCCATGCTCTAGCCCACAAAACCCCCAGCCTCTAGATCCCTGTCTGCACAGTCTCCTTAGCCCAGAAAATCCAGACCCAACCCCATGCACTTCTCCTGTCCCTCCCCCCCCCCGATTTCTCTCCCTTACCCCTCTTTAAAAGAGTATTTAAAGCGCCTCACTTGTCTGGCGGCGGCAGCAGCACCAGGGGCCTCTGAGCGAGTGGTTTTAGCTGAAGTTTCCTCCCTGGCTGCTCCCCTGGGCCTCCCTGTTTTCCACTGCAGGCCCGTGGAGTTGCATTTCCTTGTGTGCAAGGCCGGGGGAGGGGAGGAGGACGAGTCTCCCAGGTGGAGGACAGGTCACCGCCCCTCCCCGCGGCTCTCCGCTCTTGCGAAGGCTGCAGTTTGCTCACCGGGGAGTTTCGCTTCACACCGCGCTGGCTTCGTGCCCTGCGCGAGGTCACAGCAGCAGGGGAGCTCGGTGCTGAGGCCAAAGGGTGGGTCGTGAGGGGGGGACCAGGCAGCCTGAGACTGGGGGCGTTGTTAATCTCGCAGGGAAAGCAGGAGTAAAACAGCATCCTACCCGTGCAATGTGCTGCCACCCAATAGTTAGGACACAAGTGGCTGTAACCTGGGTGCTTAATTAGAGTGTAGTGTAGTGCCTTAATTGATATTTATACCTTCTCTCGCTAGTATTTATACAGCGTTTGGGAGCGGCTGCTATGTAGTGATATTTATGCCAAATATGTAGGGATGTTCCTTCATTTTCTCAGCAGTAACTAATGGGGGGGAGAGACAACATAGCAGGCCTCAAGAGTTGGGAGTAATTAATTCCCCGTTTTTACCCCAGCTCTGGCCCCTATTGCTTTGTATGTTTAAACAGTCTCTTTTGGGGCAGTGAGTCTCAACCAGGGGTACGTATACCCCTAGGGGTATGCAGAGGTCTTTGAGAGGGTACAGCAACTCATTTAGATATTTGCTTAGTTTTACAACAGGCTACATGAAAAGCACCAGCGAATCAATACAAACTAAAATTTCATACAGTGACTTATTTATACCACTCTATATATGATACACTGACATGTAAGTACAATATTTATATTCCAATTGATTTACTTTATAACTATGTGGTAAAAATAAGAAAGTAAGCAATGTTTCAGTAACAGTGTGCTGTAACTACTTCGTATTTTTATGTCTGATTTTGTAAGCAAGTAGTTTTTAAGTGAGGTGAAACTTGGGGGTACGCAAGACAAATCACACTTCTGAAAGGGGGTCAGTAGTCTGAAAGGTTAAGAAGAGCCACTGCTTTGGGATTTCTAAGCAGAGCAGGGGAACAGATAAGTGAGACAAAGTCACAACCAATTACAGCCCACACAATTAGCCAGTGCCCCACCCCCCTTAAAAGTGAAGGCTGAGTGGAATAAAGTAGCAAGCAGGAGTTAGGAGGGAGAGAGATTGAGGTGTGAGGTACTAATGCAGACTCTGGGACAAAGGGGTGATGCAGCCTGGTAGGCAGTACTGCCAGCATAAATCCTCTCTGACTTCTGCATGAGACACGAAGTGGGTGAGGTAATATCTTGACAGGGCTAGCACCAGGCACCCAAGCACGTGCTTGGGGCGGCACCTGGTAAGGGGCGGCGGGAGGAGCGCGGCGTGGCATTCCGCAGGGGGGTGCTCCGGCAGCGCTCGGCGGGGGGGGGGCGGGTCCGAGGGTGGGGGGGGGCTCGGGGTGGTGCTTTTTTTTGCTGCTTGGGGCAGCAA